CACCCAGAATGTAATGGTAAGGTTCATCCTGGACCTGGGACCAAGAGAGCATGTAGGCCAGAATGAATTACAACAATTGGGTATGCTGAATGCTGAAGACAGAGTAAAACAACTGAAGCTAAATCATGTTTATAAAATTGCCCAGAATATCTTGCTGCCAGTTTTGTCAAGGCTGGGAACCAAAGCAATCATAGTACTAGGGGGAGAGAGCACAACTTTGTAGTACCCACAGTTAGTGGCCAGGCTTCAAACACCTTTTACTGTACAGCAGTAAAGGAATGGAACAGACTGCCCGCACATGTCAAAGCCAGTCATAGCATGAACCAGTTCAAGAAGAGTGCCAAAAGGTGTCTGATGAATGTAGCTACAGAAAGGAGGGGGAATGATTTTTTATTTTTTTAGCTAACACATGTGTAATTTTACCTTATTCCTAGTAGTAATGACCCTCGTATTGCAGATAGTCTTAATAATATCATAATAAAGATATCTCCTTTATAGAATAATAATAAGATATTATCTCCTTTGTATTATAATAATAAGGTAAAAGGACCCCAATGAAAATAAGTCACTCTGTCTGACATTTTTTGTTATCCCAGGTTCTCTACACATATGCTGCTGTGTATGATAATCTATATAACTGTATTTGTGTACACTTGAATAAACTTACTTAGTTGCCTGGCTACCACAAGTCCTACAAGTCACCTGGGTACCACATTTCATATTTATGTTAATTTATTCTACTGTGGGGTGTATCTAGATGGATTAAGCAAAATGTCTATATTAACATTTTATATGATATTTAATGCTCCTTAGTGATTGTTATTGTGTTATTATTATTATCATTATTAGTATGGCATCTTCAAGACTAATAAGGCACTCTTAGTGATTTTAATGTATACCTGCATGCCAGTACAGTGTGTAAGTTTACTTACGTACAGGTACACGTAAGTATAATTATCAATCATAATACAGTGGAACCTCAAATATCGAACTTAATCCGTTCCAAGAGCTAGTTCTAAATTCGAAAAGTCTGAAAAGCGAAGCAATATTTCCCATAAGAAACAATGGAAATACAATTAATCCGTTCCAGAAACCCAAAAATATTCACAAAAAAAAATACATTTTATAGAGATTAATTACAGTTTTACATACAACAAATATAGTTTTCATTTATGTATTAATAAATGTAAATAAACATATAAAATAACATTTTTACTTACCTTTATTGAAGATTGGTGATGGCATCTGGAAGATAAGGAGGAGGAGAGACGGAGTTGGGGTTAGTGTTTGGAAGGGGAATCCCCCTCCATGAGGACTTTAGGTATGAAAGCTCTCTCTGGGGTTACTTCCCTTCTCTGTCTTTTAATGCTCTGGGACCAACTTGAGAGTCACTGGACCCCTGTCTCGCAAAATAACTGTCCACAGTCCTCTGTTTCTGGCACCTCTCTAAGATTTCCCTAAAATGGGACATGGTTTTGCCACTGAACTTGTTGCAAAGATGGCTTGTTTCAGCTTGCTCAGGGTGGTACTTCTGCACAAACATTTGGACATCATTCCACTTGGCACAGATCTCCCTGATCTTAGAAGAAGGCAATTCATCCACTCCCTCTTCCTCCTCCTCTGAAGCAAGGTCCTCAGCTGTGGTCTGATACTGCTCCAGATGAAGCTCTTGCAGCTCTTCAGTGGTTAGCTCTTCCCTGTGGTCCTCCACCAACTCTTCCACATCCTCGCCACTCACCTCCAGCCCCAGGGTGTTCCCCAATGCCACAATAGAGTCCACAACAGGCAGAGGGTCAGGGACAGGGTCAGGGTCAGCCTCAAACTCTTCAAAATCCCTCTTTTGGACACAATCTGGCCACAATTGTCTCCCAGCAGAGTTCAAAGTCCTGGAAGTCACTCCCTCCCAAGCCTTACCTATAAGGCTTATGGAGCTGTAGATGCTGAAGTGATTCCTCCAGAACTCTCTTAGGGTCAACTTAGTGTCTGTGGTCACTTCAAAGCACTTTTCAAACACTGCTTGTGTAGAGTTTTTTGAAGTTAGAAATGACCTACTGGTCCATGGGCTGGAGGAGAGGAGTGGTGTTAGGAGGCAAGAACTTCACTGTTATGAAACTGAAGTCCCTAGACAAGAGGTCTAACAAGTTTGGAGGATGAGCAGGAGCATTGTCCATTAACAGGAGGCACTTGAGTGGCAAATTATTGTCTAGGAGGTATTAAACACACTGGGATTTTCTGAATGATACACAAGTAAAGGCTTCAATTTAAAATCACCACTAGTGTTAGCACAAAATAAAAGAGTTAGCCTGTCTTTCATAGGCTTGTGTCCTGGCAGTGCCTTTTCCTCCTGAGTAATGTAGGTCCTCTTTGGCATTTTCTTCCAAAACAGGCCTGTTTCATCACAATTGAACACTTGTTGGGGTTTTAATTTTTCATTGTATACGTAAACCTTAAACCCCTGTACAAACTTCTCAGCCGCCCGTTTGTCTGAACTGGCTGCCTCACCATGCCTTACAACATTGTGTATGTCACTACGCTTCTTAAATCTGTCAAACCAGCCTCTGCTGCCCTTAATTTCACTATCAGCACTGGTTCCAGGAGTTTTCTGTACCAGATCGGCATGCAACTTCCTTGCCTTTTCGCAATAATGGTCTCTGAAACACTATCACCTGCCATCTCTTTATACTTGATCCACACCAGCAACAACTTCTCAACCTGATCGATTGTTAGCATATTAATACCTTTCGCAACATCATCTTTCTTGATTTGTTCTTTCTTTGCCAGGATAGAACCGATGGTTGACTTGTTTTTCCCATACGTCCTGGCAAGCTTTACAAGTCTCACACCATTCTCATACTTCTGTATTATTTCCTTCTTCACATCTATGGTGTTTCTCATTTTCTTTACCACAGGGGTACCACTAGCAAGTTTCTTTGGCCCATGGTAGCTTATTTCACAGTCCCACAAGCACTAAACACGATGAAATAATTGTCAAATGTTTGAATGAGAGGGCAGGTTAGTGTTCACTCCAACATCAACAAAACCAGACTGGGTCACGGCGCCTGCATGGGGACGCGGACAGAGCGGACCGCTGGACAGGTCCGGTACCTGGCGGTTTGAAAATAGGGGCAAGTTCAATAATAGGGACAAAGTTGGTTCGAAAAAAACGTTCAATTTTTGAAGAGTTCGATAAGTGATACGTTTGAAATTTGAGGTTCCACTGTAATAATGTAGGTATGTAGTCCACCTGGGCTACATACCTATACCTACCTACATAGCTAGACAATATTTAATGTGGCCCAGAGCCACATTATTACCATCGACATGCCATGTTCACTGAGTTTAATCGTTTCTATCAACTATCTTTAGATGCCATCATAAACAAAGGGAGAAGTAATAAATAATTTATGCCGAGAATTATAAACAAAAGCGTTATGTATTAAGGGGAGTGACGTAATGTTTTCCCTCCGCCCGGCTACCACCTCTCCATAGTATATAAACATTATAGTATATAAACATATAATGTTTATATACTATGTAATGTGTTTCTTATATAATTTTGAAGAAAATATCATAGATGGACTAATGAAAATGCCTATATTAACGTAAAATAAGCCATTTAATGTGCCCAAGAGTGATTATTACATAATAGAGATGTGCTCACAGAGAATGTAAACAAACCAGGTGGCGTGCACAGCATTTAAAAGACTGCTTGCTATACTAAAAGTTTTGGTCACAATTTGAAATTGCCGTATTAGCGGAACGCCGTAAGGTGAAACGCCATAAAGCGGGGCCCTGTTGTATTAATAATATTGTATATTACTTCAAGGAGCAGCTAGCACTATTTCTCACTTAATATATAATAATGTAAGCATGTTATCTGGCTTTTATATATATGTTTGAAAGTGGGAAAAGAGGCTTTTTCACTTTACAGCAGTAGTGTGGCACCTAACCTGCTGTATAAGTGGAGCCCTTCTGTACAGCAGTAGTGTGGAACCTAACCTGCTGTTAAGTGGACGTAAAGTAGGTGCCTCTTTTCCTTGTACAGCAGTAGTGTGGTACCTAACCTGCTGTATAAGTGGAGCCCTCCTGTACAGCAGTAGTGTGGTACCTAACCTGCTGTATAAGTGGAGCCCTCCTGTACAGCTGTAGTGTGGTACCTAACCTGCTGTATAAGTGGAGCCCTCCTGTACAGCTGTAGTGTGGTACCTAACCTGCTGTATAAGTGGACCCCTCCTGTACAGCAGTAGTGTGGTACCTAACCTGCTGTGTAAGTGGAGCCCTCCTGTACAGCTGTAGTGTGGTACCTAACCTGCTGTAAAGTGGAGCCCTCCTGTACAGCAGTAGTGTGGTACCTAACCTGCTGTGTAAGTGGAGCCCTCCTGTACAGCGTAGTGTGGTACCTAACCTGCTGTGTAAGTGGAGCCCTCCTGTACAGCAGTAGTGTGGTACCTAACCTGCTGTGTAAGTGGAGCCCTCCTGTACAGCAGTAGTGTGGTACCTAACCTGCTGTGTAAGTGGAGCCCTCCTGTACAGCAGTAGTGTGGTACCTAACCTGCTGTGTAAGTGGAGCCCTCCTGTACAGCAGTAGTGTGGTACCTAACCGGCTGTATAATGCACACTGTACAATGTATCATATGGAATTAAACTCTGAATTTGAAAAACTCTTTGAGTATTGCTACTTTACTGAGAAACTATCAGTGGGATAAAGGTACTATACTGAGAAACTATCAGTGGGATAAAGGTACTTTACTGAGAAACTATCAGTGGGATAAAGGTACTTTACTGAGAAACTATCAGTGGGATAAAGGTACTATACTGAGAAACTATCAGTGGGATAAAGGTACTTTACTGAGAAACTATCAGTGGGATAAAGGTACTATACTGAGAAACTATCAGTGGGATAAAGGTACTTTACTGAGAAACTATCAGTGGGATAAAGGTACTTTACTGAGAAACTATCAGTGAGGTAAAAAACATGAAACATTTTGCTCTTGTTTCAGGTGTTGAACTTGAGGTTGGGACATGATGAGCTGATCGTGAGTCCCAGAGCATGTGAGCTGGTGTGTTTCCTGCTGAGTGAAGCTTACCTACTGCAGGAGTTGTACCTGCTGGTGCGCTGTCATGGCGTTCATGATTTCTTCATCACTACGCTCTTACACACCAATCCTCTCTTGCACTTAAAGGTTTGTCAAGTCGACTTTTTTTGACATATGTAAATCAGGGGGTCCCCAGCCTGAGGCCCAAGGGCCACACGTGGCCCTTCTAGGAAATGGATGTGGCCCTCACATCAAATTATGAATTCACTTTTATGTAGGTTCCACACTGCACAGTGTCAGCAATTGCCGAATATTATTGTTATTATTCATAAAAATTGCAAAAACTACAAAGTGTGGCCCTCCTTTAAATTTGGATTTTCCAGTTGGACCCTTTCCTACTAAAAGGTTTTGGGGACAACTGATGTAAATACAGTGGACCCTCGACCAATGATATTAATCCGTTCCTGAGAGCTCATCATTCGTCGAAATTATCGTTAGTCAAGTTAATTTTCCCCATAAGAAATAATGGAAATCAAATTAATCCATTCCTGACACCCCAAAGTATTGAAAAAAAAATTTTACCACATGAAATATTAATTTTAATACACACAAACTGAAGAAGACATGTACAATTACATGACACTTACCTTTATTGAAGATCTGGTGATGATTGATGGGATGGGAGGAGGGGAGAGTGTGGATGGTGTTAGTGTTTAGAAGGTGAATGCCCTTCCATTAGGACTTGAGGTGTCAAGTCTTTTTCTGGGGTTACTTCCCTTCTTCTTTTAATACCACTAGGACCAGCTTGAGAGTCACTGGACCTCTGTCGCACAACATATCTGTCCATAGAGGCCTGTACCTCCCGTTCCTTTATGACATTCCTAAAGTGTTTCACAATATTGTCAGTGTAATAGTCACGGGCACGGCTTGCAATAGCTGTGTGAGGGTGATTTTCATCAAAAAAGGTTTGCACTTTAAGCCACACTGCACACATTTCCTTAATCTTTAAAGTAGCCAACTTCCTCAATTTCTCTATCCCCTCCTCCGGAGCAGTTTCCTCAGGTGTGGCCTCTTGCTGTTGAAGATGATCTTGCTGCTCATCAGTGGTTAGTTCATCATTGTCATCCTCCACCAACTCTTCCACAGCCTCCCTACTAACCTCCAACCCCAAGGACTTCCCCAATGCCACAACTGATTCCACAACTGGCATAGGCTTCTCAGGGTTAGCCTCAAATCCTTCAAAATCCCTTTTGTTTACACAGTTTCTTTCAAGCAGAGTTCAAGGTCCTCTTAGTCACTTCCTCCCAAGCCTTACCTATAATGTTTACACAATTGAGGATGCTAAAGTGATCTCTCCAAAACTCTCTTAGAGTCAAATGAGTTTCTGAGGTCACTACAAAGCACCTTTCAAACATAGCTTTTGTGTAGAGTTTTTTGAAGTTTGCAATGACCTGCTGGTCCATGGGCTGCAGGAGAGGAGTGGTATTAGGAGGCAAAAAACTTCACCTTAATGAAGCTCATGTCTGCAGAAAGTCACTCTGCCACGTCTGAAGGATGACCAGGAGCATTGTCTAATACCAGGAGGCACTTAAGGTCCAATTTATTTTCACAGTGGGGGCAAATGCATGGTGTAACCAGTCATAGAAAAAGTCCCTAGTGACCCATGCCTTACTGTTTGCCCTCCACAGCACACACAAATTAGCCTTGAGGACATTGTTTTTCCTGAACAATCTGAGAGTTTCAGAGTGATACACCAATAAAGGCTTCACTTTGCAATCACCACTAGCGTTAGCACACATCAACAGAGTAAGCCTGTCTTTCATAGGCTTACGTCCTGGGAGTGCCTTTTCCTACTGAGTAATGTAGGTCCTGCTTGGCATTTTCTTCCAAAACAGGCCTGTTTCATCACAATTAAACACTTGTTCAGGTTTCAATTCTTCACTCTCTATGTACTCCTTGAATTCCTGCACATATTTTTCAGCTGCTTTTTGGTCCGAACTGGCAGCCTCACCATGCCTTATCACACTATGTATGCCACTACGATTCTTAAATCTCTCAAACCAACCTTTGCTGGCCTTAAATTCACTCATATCACCACTAGTTGCAGGCATTTTTCTAACTAAATCCTCATGCAACTTCCTAGCCTTTTCACATATGATCACTTGAGAGATGCTATCTCCTGCTATTTGTTTTTCGTTTATCCACACCAATAACAATCTCTCAACATCTTCTGTCACTTGCGATCTCAGTTTCGAAAACATAGTTGCACCTTTGGCAAGAACAGCTTCCTTGATTGCCATTTTCTTGGCCTCAATAGTAGCGATGGTTGACTGGGGTTTTGTGTACAACCTGGCCAGCTTGGAGACACGCAATTCCACTTTCATACTTAGCAATGATCTCTTTCTTCATATCCATAGTAATTCTCACCCTTTTTGCTGTAGGGTTGGCACTAGAAGCTTTCTTGGGGCCCATGGTGACTTATTTTGTAGGTGCAATCACTAAAAACGCTGTGATAATACGGAATGTTCCGATTGTATGTTTGGATGGGACCGCGGTGGCTGGCTGGCTTGTAAAAACTGGCACCCAGGGGACAAGTGAGGCACGCTCAAGCCACAAGTGGACGCGTGTTGAACATAACGAATCGTGTTGGTCGAGTTTTTTAGCTCTAGTCGAGGCACAATTTTTGCGTTAAAATGTATCGCTAATTGGATTTAACGTTATATGATGCCATCGTTGGTCGAGGGTCCACTGTAATCTAGAAAATCCACAAGTTGAAGAATGCAACACTTGTGCAACATTTGGGAAGCTTTGTTGTGGAAACATTTCTCCAGCCAGTGGCTTCTTCGGTCTAGTACGTATAGAGAAGTACGGTGGAAGATGAGGAGGCGTTTGAGGTAATCAGTCCCTCAGCTTGGAGTCCATGTGTTCTTCAGTCCATCAGTCTTGATGGTAGTGATGGAATGTTCAGTAGTGATGGAATGTTTACTAGTGATGGAATGTTCACTAGTGGTAGAATGTACAGTAGTGATGGAATATTCAGTAGTGATGTTGGGTATAATCTTTTCCTTGTGACAGGTATTGAGTACTGTATATGTTTTTTCTTATGATAGATGTTCAGTACATGCATTTTCTTGTGACAGGTGTTGAGGACAAGCTTTTCCTTGTGACAGGTGTTGAGTACAAGCTTTTCCTTGTGACAGGTGCTGATAGCTGATGCACCTCGCAGAACACTGTCAGCACCCATGTTGGAGTTGACTATAGACACTGCCTGGCTCCTCATCAACAGCTGCCAACACTTACACCTCTTGGGAAACCTAATATGCTGGAATGTAACACCTGAAGAGGTGAGTCCCTCTTATCCCTATTCTCAACACTTTTTTTTTTTATTGGTGCGGAGTGCTAGACCCATCTGGGTCCTTCATTACGAGGAGTGACGGAGGCTCGATCATTCATCAAACATGTTTAATGAGTGGGACAATTGTGCAACATTTGGGTATCTTTATTATGAATATGTTTTGCCACACGGTGGCTTCTTCAGTCCAGTGCAGAAGGTGGAAGATGAGCTTGAGGTTATCAGTCCCTCAGCCTGGGGTCAGTGTGTTCAGTCCATCAATCCTGACAAGGTTGTCAATCAATCAATCTTTCCATCAGTCTTGACAATCCTGACAAGATTGTCAAGATTGATGGACTGAACACATTGACTCCAGGCTGAGGGACTGATTACCTCAAACTCTTCCTCATCTTCCACTTCTTCACAGGACTGAAGAAGTCATTGTGTGGCACATTTCCAGGATAAAGATACAGTGGTACCTCAAGTTTCATACAGCTCCCAACTCGAAAAATTATGTAAGTGTATTATTGTAAGCGCTTTTGTAAGTGTATTTTTGGGGGCCTGAAACAGACTAATCTAATTTACATTATTCCTTATGGGAACAAATTCATTCGGTAATGGCACTCGAACAGACTTCTGGAACGAATTACGGCTGAAACTTGGGGTACCACTGTACCTAAATGCTGCACAAGTGTCCCATGTATTAAACATGCTATTCATTACAAGTGATGGAGTCTCTATCCTTCATTTATTAACCCTTAAACTGTCCAAACATAGATCTGCAGCCACATGTGGGGGGCTCTGAACGTAGATCTATGTTTTGTTTTTACATGCTTTCAAATGGGGAAAATCAAGGTCAGAGCACTACGCACATGAACGTAGATCTACGTTTGGACAGTTTAAGGGTTAAACGTGTGTTGGAACATGGAACTCAAAAAAGTATCCAGAGGCAGAAAGCGATCCTGAGGATCACACTGTTATCTTGTTCTCCTTGATCAGGACAGGACAGGAATGGAGAAGACAATTAGGTTACAAGTGATGACAGTAAATAATTCAGGAACAATGTTTAATGTCTTCTCTCATCAGTCACTTTCTTTAATCAACTAATTTAGTCTCCTCACCTGTAACTGATTATTTACAAATTTATTATATCTCTGTAATTATTGTTGGATGCTAAACAGTAACTGGAATAACATCCAGCTTGGTTGTAAATGTTATCAAAAATATGCTCAGTGATATTGTTAGTCATGAGCTACTACCAGCAAAGTCAGTACAGTGGACCCCCGGTTAACGATATTTTTTCACTCCAGAAGTATGTTCAGGTGCCAGTACTGACCGAATTTGTTCCCATAAGGAATATTGTGAAGTAGATTAGTCCATTTCAGACCCCCAAACATACACGTACAAACGCACTTACATAAATACACTTACATAATTGGTCGCATTCGGAGGTGATCGTTATGCGGGGGTCCACTGTATAGACAAAACCTACTACATACTGTTTGGCAACAGAGCTTCAAGTATCCAACTTGACATATTGATCAATGGTTCTCCCATTACAAGACACACTGAAGGTAAATTTTTAGCTCTACACCTTGACTACAACTTGAAATTTAATACCCACATCCAACACATAACGAAGAAACTCTCCAAGACAGTAGTCATCCTCTCCAACATACAGTACTATGTACCCCACACAATACAGTAGTATGTACCCCACACAATACAGCACTATGTACCCCACACAATACAGTAGTATGTACCCCACACAATACAGCACTATGTACCCCACACAATACAGTACTATGTACCCCACACAATACAGCACTATGTACCCCACACAATACAGTACTATGCACCTCACACAGTACAGTACTATGTACCCCACACAATACAGTACTATGTACCCCACACAATACAGTACTATGTACCCCACACAATACAGTACTATGCACCTCACACAGATACAGCACTATGTACCCCACACAATACAGTACTAATGTACCCCACACAATACAGTACTATGACCCCACACAGTACAGTACTATTACCCCACACAATACAGTACTATGTACCCCACACAATACAGTACTATGTACCCCACACAATACAGTACTATGTACCCCACACAATACAGTACTATGTACCCCACACAATACAGTACTATGTACCCCACACAATACAGTACTATGTACCCCACACAATACAGTGCTATGTACCCCACACAATACAGCACTATGTACTCCACACAATACAGTACTATGTCCCCCACACAATACAGTACTATATACCCCACAAAACACCACTTAAACTATACCACTGTATAATCAACACTTACCTCACCAGTGGTGTTTGTGCTCAGCGATCTACTACGACTAATTCACCTTAAACCATTCAATAACCCAACTAAAGATAAAGATTTTATTTCTTTGTAAAGGTTACAATGTGTAATTACAATTCTGATTTCTTAAGTACATGTACAAAGAAAGTCACTATCATTCTGGGGCATTCCAGGCAGACTAATCCTAATACTTAACCCTAATACTTAACCCCCAGTGACAGTTCTAATACAGATGGAAGTGCCAGTGAAGATGAATTTCAAGGTTTTGATGAAGTTGTGACCAAAACTAATGACCATAATACCGGTAATAGTGAGGAAAACCCAGACGACCCTCAGCCTTCCACCTCTGCTGCTGGGCTGTCTTGTTCACGCTCAGTTGTACCAGAACGAAAGAGGAAACTCCTATTTTCCCATATCCAGGACTCAGATGTGAGCAATGGTAATAACAGTGATAGTGAATATGAACTACAAGCTCTTGAAAACAGTTCCAGTAGCAAGAGTGAAGTGGGATATTCTCCAGTGAAGAGTCAGTATATACGACGGTTAATGCACTCTGATAGTGCGCCACGTGCTGTTCCAAGGGGAAGGAGTACATCTCGGAGTACATCCCATGGCTGTACAACAGGAACAGATAGTGAAAATGAAGATGATAGTGTTGCGTTTGGGATGGAAAATGTGCATGGTGGTGGTAGTGGTGGTGCCAGCCGTGAGGCACCAGCAGTGGGCCATGCTGCCACCCACGCTGCCACCCACACTGCTGAGTCAGCTCAGCTACAACAAAGACCACCCTCAGCCACCCACCTGCCACACCAGCCTCCACAACCACAACCTCCACAACCACAACCTCCACAACCACAACCTCCACAGCCACAACCACCTGTCAGTATCCAGTACCCACCGGTAGACTGCCCCTGGGATTGGCAGGAAGCTGACAGTTTTGTTCCCAATCCCCATCACTTTGATGAAATTCAAAGTGGAATATGGCCATCTTGTACAATTGAGAACAATGCCACTGAACTAGAATGTTTTGAGTTATTCTTTGACGAACCCCTGATGGAAATTATTGTCAGGGAAAGCAACAGATACTTCAAGTACATCATGGCAAACACAATACTTTCACCAAAATCACACCTACACCAGTGGAAGGAGACAACTGTGGCTGAGATGTATCTTTTCTTTGCCACAATAATGCTTATGCCACATGTGTATAAGCACAGTGTCAAATCATACTGGTCAACAGACCGCTTGATTGCAACCCCAGGTTTCAGTGATATAATGCAAGTGAATCGATTTGTGCTACTATTGTGTATGCTTCACTTCTCAGACAAAACCAGGCCTGAAAGAAATGACAGGTTATATAAGATTAGGAATGTGTGTGTGTATCTGAAACAGAAATTCATTACGTATTTTTATCCCTTCAGGAAGCTTGTTATTGATGAGTCTTTGATTCTGTTCAAAGGAAGACTGTCCTTCAAGCAGTACATACCAAGCAAGAGGAAATGCTTTGGTATAAAGTTGTTTGTGCTTTTGTGACTACTACAGTGGTCTTGTATTGGATATTATTGTGTACACTGGAAGTAATACATTGCAAAATACCAGGAAGTTATTGAGCATCTCTGGTGATCTGGTTAGAACAATGATGGAACCATATCTTGGTAAGGGGCACAATTATATACTGATAACTGGTACACAAGCCTCTCACTCAGTGATTTTTTGCAAGTGAACATGACAGATGTGTGTGGCACAGTGTGTGGAAATCGTAAGCATATGCCCAGGTTTGACGCTGGCACTCATAGAGGTGAGGTGCAGGTGTTTGCTGCCAATGACATCATGGCATTTCGGTGACACGACAAATGAGATGTCACACTGTTGTCATCAGTTCACCCTAACGAAATGACAAACACTGGCAGGCAGAATAGAGAGACCAATGAACCCATTCTAAAACCTGCAATTGTGATGGACTGCACCCTCAGTATGCGCTCAGTGGACAAATGTGACCTGCAGATTGGGTTTGCTGATTGTGTTCACAAAAGTTATAAGTGGTACATAAACTCTTTTTCCATTTTCTGGACATTTCCATGCTTATTGCTTATAATATGTATAAGATGAGGACCAGAAACAAACTACCATATGGCGAATTTTGTTTGTCTATCATCAGACAAATAGTATTCAAGTACCAAGGAACAACACCTGCAATAGACCGCCCACTAAATTATCAACAACTACCTTCTCGTCTGAAGGATGGTGATCACTTCCTAATAAAACTGCCAGCTACTGCTTTCAAGAAAAAGGCTCAGAAGAGGTGTTACATCTGTTCACATACAATAAAACACCCACAACAATGCAGAGACACTCGTTTTATGTTGAGGCGTGGAAAGTACCACTGTGCATTACACCATGTTTCAAAGACTTCCACAGGCTGCAGAACTTCTAGAAACATGTCCTGTGACTGTATATGTGTATATAAAATATATAAAATATGTATATAAAATATATGTGTATATAAAATATACTTGTGTAAACAAGTTTTGTAAACAATATAGTGACAACAGTGTTTGTGCAGTTATTGTGTAGTATAGAAAGAGAAAAAACTTACAAAATAGTGCTCATATTGGTCTCGCAGGCCATAAAAGTTACTTGAAAAAAAAATATTAAAAAATAATAGAAAAAAC